TTACCAGAAGCCTAAGGGGGAAGCTGCTTTAATTTTAGCCAGGATGTCTCAGTGAGGCACTGCATAGCTCAGATAGTTGAGATCACATATGGGAGAAATCTGAGGGTGTACGTTGTTTGCCAAGGCCTGACACAACATTCCCTGCAGGCTCACATGAAGAGAAGCTAATCAGAGAGCAGCAGGGATCGGAGGATGGAGAGATTGGAATGGACGGTGTAGCAGGGAGTCAGCAAGCTGGGGAGAGCAGCCAGAGGCTTTGGAGAGAATGTGACCCATGTTTGAACTCTTCAAATCATGAGTATTTCACATTTTTACAGAAATCTTTTAAAATGTACATTTTCAATTAACATCTAATTTTTTAAATGTAGGAATAGATATGAATGCATTATGGTGATTTAACAGATCAGAAGTCAATCAAGAAGATGATCCATTAATATGCTACATATGTCATAGGTTATGATACCTGACTTAGAAGTATTGCCATTGAGTGTTTTTACTCCCTTTGTGGAAAACTGTATTTTTGTAACCTGTGCTAACTCTGGGATTGCCTCATAATTTAAACTGCCAAATAATCAGGCACTCTTGGGATTTCATTAGCTGCTTCCCCTCCAATGTGGATCAAGGTCATGATCCTCAGCTTTATCTATCGGGGAAGCATTAAAAGAATGTTCTAGGGTAACTCATCATGTTAGACCTAAAGTAAACAAAACTACTTGCTTGGCTCAACCACCTAGACATATTTTTCCATCTTCCCTCTTAAACTTGGAGCTTAATAAAGCACATAATTCTCCATCATTTATACTTTTGTTAACACATGATAAACATTTCAAAATCAAAACCGAGAATCCCGTCTTGAACGAATGAAATGCATATGTCATGTTCAGTAGTTTTGTTTACCACAGGAGAAAACTTCTGAATCTTAAAAGGAACTTGTTCATTTTTAGAAGTCTACATATAGCTAAGCTATTAAAACAAAACCATTCTTGTAGATTGAATAGCCTTCCAATGTGATAGGTTACTAGTGTTACTGTTTTCTTTTCTCTTACTCCCCCCTCCCAAAAAAACCCAGTTGCTGTTGATTCTGATTCATGGCTACCTATTACAGATAAAACGAAAGTATTAAACAAACAGCAGAAATTAGTAGTGAAGGAATAACCTGCATCCTACAGGAAACCAGTGGATCTCCTTGGCCCAGGCAAAATACTACTTAGAATGTTCTGGCTGCAAATGCCCGGTTACACTAATGAGAAGATTACTATCAGCCTTAAGTACACGGATTCTCAAGTCTGCCGTCATTTAACATGAATGAAAGCTTAATTATGCAACTGGTATCACTAACAAGTTTTTTTTTTATAAAATTGGAACCTTTTCCACATTTCTGTACCCTTTTGTCACAAGAAATGAAGTAGGTGTGAGGAATTTGTAACCTAACTCTCCTTTGTAACTGGGCTCTTTCTTCCCTCCACTGCAAAGAGAACCAGTTAAATGTTTTCCTTTAATCTCCTCCACAGTATTACCTGTATAATTAGCTACCTGCCAGGCTCTTTGACAAGCACTCAGCATGTATTACCTCCTAGGAACCTCACAATCCTGTGTGGCAGATACCATCAACCCCATTTTACAGACAAGGAAACTGAAGCACAGAGCTTAAGAAACATTCCCCAAATCATACAAGCTTTTAAGAGTCACCGCCAACATTAAAATTCAGGTCTGCTGTCTCCAGAGCCTGCATTTGTAACCGCTAAGATAAAGTCCTGCCTTCTTTATAATTCCGCAGCTTTTTTATGCCAGAACTTCCTGATTTGTTATTTTGGCAGTTTCCCCATATACATATAGAGGGAGAATTTACTAGGATTCTGTTTCTTCAATTTTAAGATGCTATCAATTTTTGTCATACTATTATTTTTTTTAGAAAGAAACAATCCCAGCTAAAATTTGTACATATTAGAACATAAACACATTGCAACTTCTGAAAGATTAAAATAGGAGAAATCTAACATTGTCGGCAGATCGTTTAAGTTACAAACATGAAGACTCTCTACCTGGTGGATTCTCAAAACTGGTTCAAGTTCTCTTCTGGTTCTAAAAATAAAGTGACCACAGCAGATGTGCTCAGACTATTCATTTTTCACCAAACACCCAGTCCTGCTTTCCTCTCCCCACTCTGCTTTTTGCCCTTTGCCATCTCCTTTCATTTACTGTGTGTTTGAAAAAAAAGCACACTTAATGTGGATGGGTGGGAGTCAAGATGGAGCAACAGACAGTCAAGATGGAGCAACAGACAGACATAAATTAACAGCAAAAAAAAAAGGTGCCAAAAAGAATTTTCTCTAGATCAACATCTTTTTGTTATTGTTTTTGGATGAAAATTGAATCTTAAAAAGTTGTATAAAACATTTGTCATTTTGTGGATACTTAATTTTGAGATGTTAAATATTAAAACAGGGAGCAACCGAAACCACAAGCCAACAAGCCATTACCCATCCAAGGAATAAATTTAACACAACCAACAACTTGAGTTCATTCAAATGTGAATTTGACTTTATCATTCATGGAACATCATTACAAACATAAGTACTGAGTACCTACTATACACCAGACATTATTCTAGGCACCAAGGATATAGTGAGTTTTTTTTTAACCAAGGCAAAAATCTCTGATTTATGATGCTTATATTCCAGTCATAGAGACAGAACATAAATGATATAAATATAAACATGGCAAAAAACAGTATGTAAGAAAGTGGTAAATGTTAAGAAAAAAATAACGTGCTTTGACTTTTACTCTGAGTGAGAAGAGAAGCCACTGGAGACGTGTGAAAAAGGACCAACTAACATGATCTGACTTATGGCCAAATACCATCATCATCACCTTTTATCTTTTCCAGAAACACTTCAATAGAACAGATTGAACACAAAGCAAAATTCAACCACAGGTACCCTTCATAACTTGATGGCCTCCAGATATGGGTTAGAAACAGCTGCTTTTACCAACAGTAAATCCCTTTCCCACTATATACTGAATGGTCAGAAAAACATGGAGTATAGAAGGGGTGAGACAGGTAAATAAACATAGGCTTGGAAAGAATGCTAGGAAACACCTAAACTCAGAGCATGAAGCAATCTCCAAGAAGTTAGCAAATCTGGCTTCTTAACTCTGTAGAGAAGAAATTTGCAGAGTTTAATAATAAGGTGCCAGAGCCCTGGTGGCGTAGTAGTTAAGAGCTCAGCTGCTAACCAAAAGGTCAGCAATTAGAATCCACCAGCCACTCCTTGGAAACCGTATGGGGCAGTTCTACACTGTCCTATAGTGTCACTGTGGGTCGACATTGACTCGATGGCAATGGGCTTGGTTTTTTTTTATGTAATAAAAAATAAAATATCTACAATTGTCAAGTTTATGTAGCTGCACCACCACTAAAAGATGGACTGTACTATTTTCACTCAGAACTACAGAGGTAAGTTGGGTGGGAACAAAAGAACATTCAGGTGAAGAGTGGTTGTGAACACCAGTATTAGTGTCATATCCCATGAAAATGCTTTTGCTGTAGGATATACTATTAAGTTTCCCAAAGCAAGCAGTTTCCATTTCTACCAGAGATCCAAAAATAGGTCCTGATTCTTTCATACAATTTCCATTAGTTTTTCTATAAACACAATTAATTCGTAAGTATCTTAATTCATCTTACTGAAGATTCCTTTAAATACTTACAAACTGCCATCCTTTCTATCTTTTCCTTTGATTACGTTTTTGTAACATTCTTTATATTGTATGTGTTCAACACATATTAAAACCAGGGCATTTACCAATGTGTTTGAGAAAGGGCAGCTCTGTCATGCCACCCATTTTTGAGAAGGATGCCTAAAATGAGGCCTCGTTGTTGTTCAATGAATAAGAGCACCATTAAAATCCTCAACTCCACAACTTAACGTGTGGACGGGAATTGAAATGATTGCCACGAAGCACAAGATGGCACTTTATATCAAATACTGCTACAAACCTCTATTGCTATTACCTACTCATTACACTTCCCATTTCTATAGGGTCGCTATGAGTCAGAACCAACTCGATGGCACCTACCAACAACAACAACTGGGTTAACTGTTGTCAATTTGAACTCATATAGATACAGATGAAAACTTTAAGGGACAAGGAGTCTAAGTTTGTGGCGATGAAACAATGTGGGTATGAACAAAACAAAACAAAAACAAATCCGTTGCTGTTGAGTCGATTCCGACTTCTAGGGACCGCACAGGACAAAGTAGAACTGCCCCATAGGGTTTCCAAGGAGCGGCTGGGGGATTCAAACTGGCGACCTTTTGGTTAGCAGCCGAGCTCTTAAACACTGCGCCACCAGGGCTCCCAATACAGGTTTAGATTGTGAGACTGGTGACACAATGTGAAGTATGTAACCAGTGTCATTGAACTGCTCATGTAGAAATTGTGAATGGGTATATGTTTGGTTGTGTATATTGCCACCAAAAAAAAAAGTCTGCCTGATTGTCAAAACCCATAGGACTGTACAACACAAAGAGTGAAACTTAAAGTAAACTAAGGTCTTTAGTTAATAATCATGTACCAGTTCATCAACTGTAACAAATGTACCACAGGAATGCAAGATGTTAATTTAAAAAAAAGAATTGCTCTTGGTCCCTTTACAGTAAGCTGCCCAATATTACCAAGAAAATACCTATTATGTGCAAACTTTTTTCTCTTATGGCACGATTTGTTTTTAGCCACAGTAGATCATTCTGACACAATCTAAAGGCTAGTCCACTTTTATGGGTAGAATCAGCTGGCAGTAACATACATTAACAGCACTTTTAAAAAATTATCCTTAGAGTGAAAAGGGAACTGGATCACGTAAGGGATAAAATTAAAGCTAAGCTGCTGTCCTATAATTTTTTTTCTTGTTCTAATCAGCTATTCTAGCCTCTAAATTTTGGAATAAGTAACAAAAGATTCACAGCATGGGATTTTTAACCTGCAGAGACACCTACCATTTGACTCTGAAGCCATTCAATCAGCGTTTCTGCTGTTGAATCTGGGATCTGGCATCTCAAGCCTTCTTTCTCATCAGCTTCCATCATCGTCAACAATCCACGCAGGTCTTCCACAAGGTGCAGCACTCGCAAGCTTCCCATGAATGGGGAGGTAGGAGACTGGCAATCAAAAATCCCGTTGGAATATTCCAGGGCCTTAGAACCTAAGTTAAAAATATCACAAGGAAAGCAATGGGGTTTATATTAGACAGCACACCAAAGCAGAACACCAAAGCTGAAGATAGTAAACACGTTTAGTTAAACTGAGCAACAACCAAATGAAAACAAAGAATGGAGGGGAATAAAAGGGGGGGGGGGTCAGATAATAATTTAATCATGTAAATCCCTCCATGCCATAGTTATATGGTGGAAAAACATACCATATACAGTCCATCCTCATTATTTCACATTTGTCAATTGGCCTACTCACTAAAATGTATCTGTAACCCCAAAATCAATACCCATGGTACTTTTGTGGTTATGCACAGAGCAGCAAAACATTGGAGTAGCTCAATGCACAAGACTGGTTTGGTACTTACTAATTCAATGTTTGTGGGAATTTATAGAACATAACTATAAGAATAATGAGAATTGCCTGTAATCAGTAGTCCAATACCTAACAGAGAGGTCAATTGTGTGGTATAATAAGCAGAAAAAGTGTATGGTGGGTTCTGGTGAGAAGTGCACTGGCCCCAACCTGAAAATGCCTGATAAGAGGGAGGAGCAGGTCAGTTTGTATAGAGCTATGCATCTCAGAAAATACAAATTTTAGGAACCATAAAGTCTTTAAATTCTTTTCAAAAAGTTACACATCGAGGTGGAAATTGCATAGCCTAATTTCAAATGTAAGAAGGCCAGTTCCCAGTTAATTTACCAGAATTTAATCTCTGAAGAAGTTCAATGAATTACATGTGCATATTTGTATGTCTCCGTGGGTGTGTGAGCATATTTGTATAAATATTTTTCCCCATGATTTTGTTTGCAGCTTAAACGTCAAAGGCTATTGCTAATGTCAGCTTTTAAAAATATTTATACAGTTAGTTTTATGGTTAAAATAGATAGTTAGCTTTCTATTACTTACAATGAAACCATTCTACTACTTAAATTCACACTGCTAATCCATAGTTCATTCTGAAACCATTTATATTTACCTCTTCATCTCTTTGATTTTTTTTTCTGATGTGTCAAATACACATATTACTTGTTTTTTAAAATATACAAGTCCCATTCCAGTGATTCTTAAGCATTAGCATTACTGATGAGATTATTATAAATACATACATTCATATCCCTCCATTTGGTTAAATCTCCTTCCCAAAACACGGTGAGCATAGGGAACAGATGTATACTTTGAAATATCCTCCAAATGTTTATAATCATTTCTTCTTCTCTTCCCACACCACCACTTTAGTGGGAGAATAACTGATATTAATTTGAAAACATACAAACCCAGGTGTTACCCACAAAGTTTCTGATTTACTAAGCTTGGGGTGGGACCTGGTGATCTTCATTTTCTTAGTAACTCTAAAGCTGGTCCTGAAGCCCTGACAGGGCTAAGGAACAAATATACTAATCTAGTGGAATATATAAACTGTAAATCCTTCAAATAATGCTCCAAAAAATCACTTCTCTCAACTAGAGTTTTGCTAAGAGTGCAAGGTTATAACCTCTGGCAATAGCCTAGAGTTGATTCTAGTTATATTTTCAGATATCCTGAAAGAGTCAGTTCAATCTCTCTTCCACATAATAGTCTTTCAACTGTTTGAAAACATATCTCATGCTCCAAGTAAGAATACACTTTCTATATTAAACTTAACCAGTTCCTTCAAATGATCTTTACTGAAGTGGTTGTTTTATTCTTCACCATCATGTTTGCCACCTCTAGACAAGTTTTAGCTTGCCAATAACCCTTTGAAAACAAATACCAAAAATCAAATATGGTATTTGATGCGTGGTCTAATATACAAAGGAAATCCAATTGAAGTCAGGTCTCCAGGACATAGTATAACAGAGGAGGTCAAACTATGACATGCCACTTTCCTCAAAAGAAGCCACCCCTCCTGAGAGAGTGCAAGGAAATGCAAGGGGTTCACCTACTTGTCAGCCCCCTCTGCCATGATGAGCAAACAAAGATGTGGTGATCTACTGCCTTTGCTTTGCTTTCACATTAGAAAACTACTGAAGATTCCTAATCAGGGTGTAATACCACCAAGTCTGTGTTTTATAAATGGATGTTTGGTGGTCTAGGAAAGAATGGACTAGAGTGGGAAAGCCAGAGTGTCAGGACATAAAGTGGGTGGGTGTCTTGGACAAACCAAGACAATGGTAGCACAGACAGGACAGATTCTAGAGAGGATAAAAGGAAAAGGTAGAATTTAGGAGGAGGCAGAACTGATAGAACTTGATTTAAATGGGGAGCATGAGGGACAAAGGTATCTGGAATTACTTAAATTTCCTGCTAAGAAAAATATGTGGATAGAAGGTTATAAAATTAGCTAAGATAAAGACCAACAGAGAGGCTTCCAAGGAAAGATAACAACCCCAATGTTTTAAATGATGACACAGATGTGCCTACAGAACTTGTCAGGAGAGAGATCTGGTTCGCAGTTACAGATAGCAAAGAATTTTGAAGCTTAGCAAAGAATTGGGAAAGTCAAAGATATAGACGGGAGAGTCATTGGCAGAAAAGTGAATGTCTAATTCAAGAGAGCAGATCAGAACATTCATAGATACTGGGTAGAGAAGTGTCCCTCAAGGTGCAGCCCACAGATCACTGTACCAGAATCATTATGACGCAGATTCTTTATCCTTGATCAGAAACTAGGGCAGAATTGGAATTTTGGCGATTTGAACTAAAGCTTGAGAATAATTCTAGCAGAGAATGGAGAAGACAGGAAAAGATGAAACCATGGGGAACCTAAAGGCATTGGAGAGAGCCAAAACATGAGAACAAGAAAGAAGATAGGAAGATAAAAGAGAGTTGTCATGAAAAAGCCAAGAGAGGTGAGTACGTGTCATGATTCCAGCTTCTGGAAGATGTGGATTACCTGCTATAATACCATCCATCTGTTCCAACGCTGCAGCCAACATGTCACTTGCATCACTCATCATTTTCTTATATTTCAATGGCAAATTCCAGCCTAGATCTGAAAAAATAATGATGTTATCATTACATCCTTTAAATGACACATGCTAGCTTAGCAGGTTTGCTAATTCAATTTCAAATTATAACTCCACTTAGCAGTCATATATGAAGAGTGAACTTCTAAAGTAGTTGAGCAGAGTTAATTGAATCATTCAAGAAGCCATGGTACAAGCATCTACTGTACCGCAAGACCATGGGCACCATCCGTATCAGTTAATAAGTCTTAATCCTTGCACTCAAGGGTGTTTAAAATCCAGTAGAATGCTTTCCACGCTGCATTCTATAGAGCTCTAGGACTCTCTGAAGTGCATTGGGAATGCTGTGGAATCTTGTTGAGGGTCATGATTGCTAAGTAGACAAGACTTCCTTCTCCTTGCACCAGCCCCACCCAATCTCTCCTCTCTTAACTTTGCTAACCCTTCCCTTTTATTGGCAACCCAGTGGTGCAATAGTTAAGAGCTCGGCTGCTAACCAAAAGGTTGGCAGTTAGTATCCACCAGCTGCTCATTGGAAACCCTATGGGACAGTTCTACTCTGTTCTATAGGATTGCTAGTTCTACTCTGTTCTATAGGATTGCTATAAGTTGGAATCAACTTGACAGCAATGGGTTTGGTTTTGTTTTTTTCCCTTGTATTAGGGTTTACCATAAGATCTGTCTAAGAAAACAGCTTCACTCACATATGTACTAACCATACACACACACAAACCTACTGGTATTTTATAATGCAACAATATAGCTATTGTCATCGAGTAGATTCCGACTCGTAGCGACCCTATAGGACAGAGTAGAACTGCTCCATAGGGTTTCTAAGGAGCGCTGGTGAATTAGAACTGCCAACCTTTTGGTTAGCAGCCGAACTCTTAACCACTTCACCACCAGGGCTCCAATGTAACAATAGCTACCATGTATTGAGTGCCTACAATGGTCTCTATACATTTACATAAATTATCCATAATCCTTCATCATGACAACAACTCTATAAAATCGGTATATTTATCTCTATTTTATAAAGATCAAAGACGTTTGTTGAGTTTTGCATGAACACATAACAAGTAAGAATAGCAAAGCCCATTTTTAACCTAAGTCTGTCTAATTTTCACACCAATACTGAACTTCTGTTAATCTGATCCCATCTGGGCAAGTGTGCAGAAACGATAAATCTCCAAGTTTTCACAGACTTTGACAGTGTAAATGAAGGATCACAGGGCCTATTTCATGCTGAAACTGTGTCAGAATCTATTTGTCTTTTTACCTGTTAAAAAATATATTGAAATTACTCTTGCAAAAAATTTGGTCATTGACAAGAAAAAGTCAAGATTATGTGACTTCCAACATTAATGAATACATTTCAAGTAGCAGACTAAGCACCCATGCATATTCTCTCAACGGGCCTGAATAAGATGACTCCTACTTTGCAGATACTGTGGTATAGCAAAGCTCTGGTAAAGAAAGAGTATACTGTTTAACAGAAACCTTTGCCCTCTGTTTCTAAGCAGCCAGATCTCACCTAGCACTATATATTCATAAACATATGTACAGTTCGGGTAAACAGCTTCTCACTCAGTTCTCTACTATGCACCCAATCTAGTAAAATGCCATATAATCACTGGGAAATATTACTTTGATTTTACAGTAGTTTCATCTTAAGGATTTTCTAGAAATTTACTCACTTCAAAAGGCATAAATTATCACCACCATTTCACGCGGGAAAACTACAGTACAAAAATGCTCAAGGCACTTGTATAAAGTCACTCAGAAATCAGCAGGTAGGGGAAAATAAGGGTGGGTTTTAACCTAGTTTTCAAAACTTTACTTGCATACTCAGCTAGCGCACAGCCCAGGGTACAATCTAACAACCACCTTTGTGCTGGAAAACTCAAAATGTGAAAACTGAGAACACAAAGGATTAAGCCGAAGAATGTGCACTTCCTGAATTTCATATAATTAAGTGGCTTTTACTCCCTTTCATTTTAAAAGTAGCACTTCAAAGAGCCCTACATACTCTTTT